GCAGAGTCTAAGTGAGCCCCACGAGTGACAGGACAACCAGGAAAGCCATCCGATTTACCAACTCATGGCGAACGAGCAAGCAAAGGAAATAGGAAACCAGCTAGCAAAGGAGTTAAGGAGTTAGCCGAAGAGATAGCAAAGGAACAAGAAGAGTTATGGCCCCTGAGCCCACTCCCTGTCTATGCCCCCCCCCCCCCCCCCCTTCTGCGGACCAGGAAAACTAACAGACCCACCAACTCAGTCGCAAACAAGCCAACAAAGGAGTTAACAAAGGAGTTAGAGAGAGTGTTAGCAAGTGTAAGGAAGTGAAAGTCTGATGGCTCCCAAACCCACTCACTGCTTATGTACAGAGCATTACGTACTATGGAATGAAATCTCCTTTTGGTTATTTTGGGTCAGCTGTTTTAACTGTGTTCTCTTACACTGCCTGTAGCAAAGAGTGTTGGGAAGGCAGCTGCAGTATCGGAAGTGGAAAAAGACCTTGAATTTGGTGCAAGCACTCTCCAGCACCAGCTAAAAAGGCACCTTATTAGTACTTTCGTCAGGGTAAATCCAGAAACCTAGCTTCATACCAGCCACTGGGAAGAGAGTTAACTCTCTCCTGACTTAAACCAGCACGCAGCTTCATGAAGTTGTCTTGTTCTTCTCAGCTGCACAATTGTGTTTACCTTTCACTAGTATGTTATTGTAGGACTGGTACCAAAAGTTACTTTCTTCTCCCAATCCATCTCCTCTCATGCCCATTTTGTTGCCAACAGACATGTCAGCAGCAGTGACAGAGTAGGAAAACCCTACCGTGGTGTGAAACCAGTATTCAGCATCGGAGATGAAGAAGAATATGATACCGGTACAGTAGAAGATTGTCCTCTTACCTAGATTAAGTTATTTAAACAAAATTATTAAGCTTGGCTAAATCATGAGTGTATTTTACATCTTTGTCTTACAACATGACATTTTTCTAACTACTATCATTGATCATGTTTGTTTTGGTGGTGCCTAGGACCAGCCTAGAAAGAAACATCCTCTTCAAGTACATAGTAGCAGACTAAGTAAAAAAGATCTTGTGGTAGGCAGCAGCCAGCCGACGGGAAGAAATGGCAATAGATGGGTTTAGTGGGTCGGTCATGTTCACTTGTTATTTCTGTAGTTAATACATTTTCTGCACTGGTCTTGTACATGTGAATTTGCAATTGTACCTCTATTACTCACATCTGTAAGCCAAATGTAAAGGACCCAGTTTGGCTGATAGATCTCAGGTTGAATCTCTAGCATGTAGTTAGTATAATGATCTGAATTTGCGAAAATATAGTCGGAGATTGGCCACTTTGAGATGGCTCACCTCTCCAGTGTTTTGGACTTTGCTTTTTAGCATTGAATCTATTAATTCATCTCTTGATATGCATGTAGAATGCTGTAGAAAAAATGTGCAATTTTTTTTTTTTCTTAATCTACTTGAAAACTTTCAGGTAAAACCAGAACTTTTCCAGCCATTGGTATCGTAGATACAAAATGTTTACATGGCTTCAGGGAAAGTCTGGGCAAATCAGTGTAAAAGAGATCTATTAAACTTTACTGAACGGATAAATCAGACCAGCCTAATAAATCCCCTGAGCTGAAAATAGTTGTCTGCTGAGAGAGAATTAGGAGAGGAATATCAGCTAGACAACGTCTCTTTCTTCCCTCTGAACAATTTTTTATGGTGGACCTTGGTTTGAACCCATGTAGCTACTACAGATTTAAGTAAGTTGAAATGTTATCTGATGTTGTGTGAAAATCTCTTTTAATTATTTTTTACCCTTCTCCCTTCAAAATAGATGAAATTGATAGCTCCTCAATGTCAGATGATGATCGAAAAGAGGTTGTCAACATCCAAACATGGATAAATAAACCTGATGTGAAGTATAACTTCCCCTGTAACGAAGTAAAAGAAAATGGACATATGTTTCCCAGGTACTGGAATTAGTCCTGAGCTTAATGAAAATGTCTGTTTTGATACACATTTTAAAAAAAAAAAAAGAATATGATGAGAAAAAATGAAGGTGCAAAACAACCTAGAACAGAATGTTACCGCTATATTTACACTCTTATATTTGCAGTATTATGGAATGCTAATTATGTATTAACTTTTGCTTTGTGAAACAAGAAAGTAAGAAAAATTTTCTCTGTATATGTAGGCGTATTTTTGAAGGCCAGGTAGACACACGTACCTGTGGCTCTGTTCTTTCCTTGTGTATTTGTCTCTGTGCCTTGTACTACACACCCACCTTAAGATTTAGTGACCATGTTAATACTGCAAGAGCAGAACATAATGCTTGCTGTATCTTGGCTTCCCCAAAGAGTACAAATCCTGCAAAAATTATGATGGACTATCTCTTCCATCATGGTCTGCTCTGGTCTTTTATTATTAATTTTGTTTTCCCATTAGATTTAATTTTTATGGTTTATGGTTAGTAACCTGTCATAGTATGATTTCTCAAGTTGAGTTGGGACTTAACTAGTGTGTTCCCACCACTAGTTGGACATGCATTTCTTCCATGAAGAAGGCACAAGTGGGTCGTGAACTGAGCTGGCAGGTCAGCATCCCAGCGTTAGTGCTTGTACAGTGATTGACAGTCATGGAGTGCCAGCATATCCTTTTCACTTAGGTCTGATGCTCCACGTGTAGAGTTGCTCCTCTGTAGATGGAGGGATGGGGTTGGGGTATGATGGAAGGATGAAAGAGAGATGCCGGAGACATATTCCCTACTCTCTGGGTGGCCTGACACGTTACTGGTGGTTGTGACCTTTGTTGATAGCGCTCATGGTGGTTGTGTTGAGGTGATGATGTGACCTGCTCACTCTGGTTTTGTGTGCTGTGGAGGATGCCATGCTTGCTATCAAAAATGGCTGTGATGCAGAACTAAAGGTACTGTAGTATCCTAATGATGATGTAGTAATCTGAAGTATTTTGTAGACCTTTCTAAATTACCGGTTTTAAAAGTATTAAAATGGTTTTTAGATTTGGGAACTGGTTTATCTAGCTCTCTCCATGTAGCTTATTTGTAGAATTTAGCTTTCTAAATAGCCAGTACTTAGTTCATTAGCAAATTCAATTTCTATTTTTCTTTTCCTTCAAGTCATCTCCTAGTAACAGCAACTCATATGTACTGTTTGAGAGAGATTCCATCACGAAAGGGACTGGCTTACATACAGTCTCGACAGGCACTCAACTCTGTAGTCAAAATCACATCCAAGAAGAAACACCCAGAACTGATCACCTTTAAATACGGAAACAGCAATACTTCGGGCATAGAAATCTTGGCAGTTGAAAGGTAAGCCTTCTCAGTAGCACAGGTGTAAGTAGTAATGATACACAGAATGCTGTCAACTGGAAATCCCAGAATTAGTGTTTTATTAAGAACAGATAATTCAGATGTGAACTAGAATAAATATCTGCCAGCAGAATGAGGAGAGTTTACAAGACCAGCAGAGAGGAACTCCATGGTCTGCAGCGACAGTCGTTGGGGGTGGGATGAGTGCGAGTGTTTTCTTTTCATAATATGTTTTAAATGAAAGTGGAGAGCTATCTGCAGCCTGAGCTATGGGTTTGTGAAGAGTGGGATATAAGAGAGTGGTCTGTCTTTGGTGATACTTTTTTTGAGACATATAACTTTTCTTATGCATTGTACAAGGAGTCCAGATTCCTAACCTCAAAACTCTGAGCCCCTGAAAGTTAGGTATTGCCATGCTCAGCATCTGTGTGCTTAAGAGTGAGGGGAAGGCAGAGGGATTGGGTGTATTGGGCTTTTTTCCACTGGTGCAGCCTCTTTCTTGGCACTGTTTTAACGAAGTTGCTGACATCAGTTGGGTATTCTGTCATCCTCTTCCTTGGGGAGAACTGTGTGCAGTGGGCGCTCTGTTTTCACAAGTGGGAGATGAGTTTCCTAGCTAGGGAAGTTTTTCTATGCCTGTTGGCTGCTTAGAATGAAATGAGTTTGGTGGTAGGTGAGACGAAGAGGCAGTGTTGCAGAGAACTTTGCTGCCTGTTGAATTACTTCATCACCACCTTGTTGACTGGAGCCAGTCCAGAAGACAAAGGATAGTAAATAAATGATCCAGAGCTATCTATGGGAATTACAAAAAAACCCTGAGGAGAGCCATGCTTCAGTTGGACGGCGCTGTCTGTAGATATCTTGAACTGCCTCATCTAGACCGTTGTCAGCTAATGAAGAACTTTTCCTTTCCGGGATGGCCTGTGAAGTGCTCCGCAACAGTTCCAAGTTCAGAGATGGAAAGTGTTTCATAGTATAAACAGGAAATAACTGTTACTTACTCTGCAGTTTTTAATTTTAATATGTTTCCCTCCCCCTTCCTCCTAGTTTATGCCAGAAGAAAAATCAAACCAAGAATTATGGAATTGATACTCAAATATTTTATGGAGAATTAATGATGCTTTTTTCTAATTTCTTTTAAGGTATTTGATTCCAAATGCAGGTGATGCTACCAAAGCCATAAAACAACAGATCATGAAAGTATTGGATGCCTTGGAGAGTTAATAACTAAAGACTTTGTAGAGAACAGTTTATAAAGAAGCAACCAAGATACTGTATGTGGACACAAGCTGACTGTTCCCAAACTGGATACTAACTTAAGAGAATTTTTCTGTTTGCTGGTGGGAGTGCCTGAGTAGCAGGCCTAAGATAGGGTAAATTATTATCACTTTCTGAACAGGATTTTTAATTTTTTCTTTGTTTTTGTTATGAAGAAGTATTTATTATAAAGGTCAGTTTGTTTCTTTTTTACTGCAGCCTTAATGTGAGTGATCTGCATCTTTGCAAGAGACGATGCAGCTGGGTTCACATTAAGTATGTTAAAGGAATGAAGCGCTGCCAGATACGGAGAAGCCGTTGAAAACAGAATGGTTTTTAAACTCTGTCCCTTGAAAGTAAAATGTCTCCATTGCCTGCAGTATATATGTTTGGTTTTGCCTACTGGGTAGTGTCAAAGACTGATTAGAAACTTAACATTTATGAGCAGAGCAAATAAAAATCTTAGAAACACTCATTCCTTCTCATTAGAAACGGTTAAGTCCAGCTTGGGCTGCAGATAAATGGAAAAAAATTCAAGCATTTTGTAAAATCAACTTTTAAAAAAGTCTTATCCACTTCTTGGAATTTGGTGGTAAGGGTATTTTTAAATATCAAAGTGAACTGTACACAATAAGCTTTTACTACAGGGTTGTGATTTTTTTAATTATGCAAAATTTTACATTCCATAGGTTGAGGCTGATTGTCTTGCGCAGGTGAGTGCTGGCACTGAAGTTGAAGTTAATGTTTCACCACAGAATATGACAGTTGAAAACCATTTACCTTGCTCCTCAGAAAAAACATATCTTAGATAATAATTAGACCTTGAAAAACCTTCAGTTCAGTGCGGAAGTGAGTATGTGCTGATTGAAGGTGTGTTTGGCAAGAAAATGAATGCACACAAAGTGAAGAAGATTCAAGTGCTATATACCTGTGATAAATGTATTCATTACCTGTTGCCTTCATTGATTTAATCATTCCTTTAAATTCTTTTCATTAACATCATCTAAATTAGTTAATGTTTGAGAGATGGCAACTATGTAATTACTTATCAGCAGCTTCCCACTTGTTCCAAGAAGGGTCCTCTTGTTAAAAAGGTCAGTCAGTACAGGCGTGTCCTTATGGCCGAGGCATAGCATCTTTGTAGGCTGATGTGGAAGTTGCCAAAAGCTGTCACATAGCGATAATGGGGATTAGATTAGCTTTGCTGCATGAAGTCTTCTGAGTATTTGAATCAAACCCTGTGAATCGGTACATCATCAGGAGATAAAATAAACTGACCTTTATAAAAAAAACCCAGTTATTCTAAGTTATTTTACTAGGAATCCAGCTAGGGCACCTTAATTCTGGAACTAATTCTTTTTTTTTCTTCTTAGTATCTGAGTAAACACCAATAGAACTTGAACTGTTGAAGATATTTGCATGAAATTGCACCTGGGCCAATGCTCATGTATTTATAGTTTTGCCCAGCAGCTGTTGTATTACATTTTCCTCTTCCTACCCCCTTCTGAAAATACCCTGAAGAGTCTCTGACTCTGTGCCTACTTCAGCAATGATATTTTTTTCATGTAAAGATGTTTGTGTTACTGTTTATAAACTACAGTTGTAAATAAACCAGTACAATTTGAACATAACTTGTTCTGTCAGAAAGCATTGAGTTGCATATTGTGTGAATTCTCTGCATCAATTAGCAGTTTTTCCTAAAGATACTTGGTAAAAGTGAGTTTGATCTTTGGAGTGGAAGAAGATGATTATGGAACCATAGTATGCATTCCTAGAAAGGTCAAAATGAGATAACAAATGGTCAAATTATAGAAGGGGTCTCTGCATAAGTTCCATACTTCTCAGCATCATCCTTTTTTGTTATGAAAATGTTGACAGAATGGTACCTCACATTTTTCCTAGTCATTGGTGGGAAGGTAGGGAATCATGAAAAGTACACTCAGTTGTGAAACAGGTGTGTTTGGGTATTAAAGATGGGAAGTGGGTAATGTGTATGCTTCTCTGTGAGGACAACATGTATACATCTTTTAGATCTACAGTGGGTCAAGCTACACGAAGTCATTTTTTAAATCTCTTTTGTGTAGAAATGTATAATCCAAGCCATTAAGAGGCTAATTATTTGTAAACTTGAAGGCAATGTGCAAGTTACCAACAGACTCCTTATCTTGCAAAGTTCAGGCCCAACTATGAATAACTTCCGTGGTGTTTTATGCGTCTCTACCCACGCAGTGTAGAGAACTCGTGTAGTGTTCTTGTCTCGCAGTGTATGTATCTGTAGTTAGTGTGTTTGCTACAAAACTTGTATTGCTAAGCAGAAGTTCCAGTTTTAGTACCGGAGTGACAGTTTTGAAAAGAAAAATCGAAATAGTCATTCTGCTACTTCTGGTACCTTTCATCTTCAAGGATTTTTTTTTTTTTTTTTTAAATTTACCAGAGTTTGCAGGCTCTTCTGTTATTTTGCATGTACTGCTGTGCATATTGTAGACTATAAGATGGCAACTGCTATGTTGCTGGGGTTTGGTTTTTATTTTTATTTATTTTGGTGATAGAGATGAGGTCTGTAGCAGTAAAGACACTTCCCAGAGTAAGCTTTTCTGCCAAATGGAAGTTCTTACCTTTGTCTTTCATAGCCAGGGGCAGTGCTTACGGGCTCACTGGTGATTCTTCGGTTGCCTCTTTTAAGTTCTGATTTGTGCAAGAGTTTGTACAGCACTTTGCAGGTATTACCCACTAAAAATACTCTGACTGTGGAGATGCGATTTTGTTCACATTGCCTCCTCTAGATGTAAGTAAAGATTACTCGCTGTTTTTTCAGTTTAGTTCCTGCTAGACCTTACACATGGGTCCAAGCAGTGTTTGTAGCTCTTCCTTCCAACTGTATTTCAGCTGTAGTTTCAAAGCTTTTGACACTGTCAAATAACCTTCTTCACTATAGGCATAGTCTACTGAATGGCTGAAAAGTTTCCCCTTTTGGGGACGGAGGGGGGTAATAGTGTGTAACTTCTTCTTTTGGGTGTATTAAGTGCTTTCAGGTACTTTTTTGTTTGAAACTTGAAAAATACACTTCTCTCTCTGAACCATGGGAAGCTGTTTTTAGCCTGTGCCTTTCACCTTGAAGGGATGATACTGCATCCCTTCTCACTCTTACTCTGTGCTCTGCCCCAGGCCTCCGTGAACTTGAGACAGCTGTTCTTCGCACCTGCAGCCCTGCAAGGTGTGCTCTTCAGAAAAACGATAATTCATATATGCTGTTTCTGCTGCTATGGGCATGTGTAAGGGGAGGGAGGTGCTGCATCCCCTCCTCATCTGCAGTTGTCACTGTGGTAATTCTGCCATCCTTTGCTTGGTGGGTTTGGGGCGAGGTGTTCCCTTTGCTGCTCCAAGGGGCAGAGTGGACCGTTTTTCTGTGGAAGGAAGGTGAGGAACTGCTGCAAGTGGTGGTGGTTGGTTTGTGGTGGTTATGCGCTTCCCATCCTTTCTCTCTCCATGTGATCACCCTCGGTCACCAATTTTGTTTTCATAGAATCATAGAATGGTTAGGGTTGGAAGGGACCTTAAAGATCATCTCGTTCCAACCCCCCTGCCCCTTCTGTTGTCATTTGCTTGCGGCGCTACTCCACGTGAGGAACGCTGCCTCGAATCCGCAATTCTACAAACACGCTTTTAAAAAGCTCAAGACTGCAGAATACGTACATGAGGCAGCAGTGCTGGGTGAAGGGGGGCACTCGGTGTCTAGAGCTAGCAGTAAAACCAGTTAGCACGTCGGTTTGTACCTCGGGCGGTGCTGGTCTCGTCGGGGAAGACGGGGATGTCCCGGGTGAAGGGACAGGCCTGTGCAGCGGGGCGGGCCCAGGGGCTGGC